GAAAAACCTGAAGAAGTCTTAAATTTGTGTATTAATTTTATCAAAAGAACTGGAATTTGATATTCCAAATTAATTTTTAAAACTTTGCTTAAATATCGTATATGTATTAAAAAAAAAAATTTGAAAAATTCTATCTTGAGAGATTTAATTTTTACTATAAATTCACTAAACGTCATTAGTTATATTTATAGTTATTTAAACATTTTTATAAGTTAAATATATTGCAAAATTCATCCAATCATATTTAAGAATAATAAGTAAAACTTAGATAATCATAATCAAGATGTTTTAGAGAACAATGAAGAAAACTAACTTTTTATAAGGGCAATAAGGACAATTCAATTTTATGAAACTTAAATTCTAAATTCTAATATTTGATGCTCAAGATAAAATCCCCCAAATAGTAAGTATGTAGATCACTTGATCATTACACAATAAAAATTTAAATATGTTGACGTGAAAAATGAATTTTTTTCTGTTATTATTCATTATTATTAAATAAATAAATAAAAATGAAAGGAGTATTTTTTTAGAAAATTCGCAAAAGATAAAGCTATAGAGTTGCAAATTGTAGGATAGGTCAAAAATACTAGTAAATTCATTTTACAAATGATTTTACATAATTTCAATAATCTTTATTTAACTCATACATATATAAATACATTTATATGGTTCTGTAACTGGCATTGCACAAGGCGTAAAAGAAAAGATCAATGTTTTGAATTATTATTCTTGTAGATTTTAAATTAATTTAGTAAAAAATGGATGCAATATGAAGGATCACAGCAAAATTTAAGGAAGAAGAAATTTAAATGCTTGAATTACAAATTTTGAAGTTAGGCACTAAAATGAAATAAAAAGAACCAATTAAAAATTTGTTTATAATTTATAAAGTTTCCTTTTGGGAATAACTTTATAGAAATATCTACAAATCACATTACACAACTTTGAAAAAATGTTTGTGTGATTATAACATGAGTAGCGCGTACCATGTATGAAAGTAACTAACTTGCCAAGTAAATTTCAGTCGCTAAACAATACTAATTCCTTTGAATTGTATTCTAATTATAATTTCTTATTCAGAAACATTCGCACACAGACTAAGAACAGACTATCATGGATGTATCTACTTTTAATTTTTTAATTAAAGTCCTGAATTAATTATATTTATTAGTAAAGTAGTAGAAGCAAATTCTTTAAAGAAAACTTTACTCTATTAATATCTATCAACTGTATTAATTCTATTAATCTTTGTTAATTTTTATTAAAGTAATGAAACTATAACAAAAAATTATATTAAATATGCTCCACTGAAGCACAAAAGTTGTACAATTTTTTATACTCAATATACTTTGAACAAACTAAACTTAATAAATAGAAAAAACAATACCATTTTTCATATTTTTCCAATTCTTGACCATTTGTCTCTTCCTTCTATTCAAAGAGTTTTTCTAGAATCAGTCGCATCATCTGACCAAGATCGTTTGTTAGTTGATGACATTTTGACATATTACAAAGTTGTAATTCCTCAACAATAATATCAATACCACAACTTTCGGAATTATTATTGTTCTACCAACGAACAAAATAAACCTGTGATACTTTGTTTGCATCAGTTTATGGGAAATTTATATACTTGGAGATTACAGTCTTTAGCTGATGGTACTGGTTATCTAGCGTACGATAGACCAGCATATGGATTCGCCGAGAGACTCACACAAATAAAAATCCTTATACTCAAGAATTTTTAATTGAATTCACTGTTCAATTTATGAGAGCAATAGGATACGGTGGGAGGAAAAATTATTTTTATCGGTTGCTCCGCATCAAGTTGCACGATAATAATTTTGAGAGATGTGAATTTTCACGTGACATAACAGGGTGGCACGTTTTATTCTAGGATCATGGCTTGGTTGATTATATCTTAAAGCAGCTTTATGTAGAAACCTTCCACTCATCACAAATTATCACGATGTCGATGCTGTTCCCGAATTGGAATTTGTAGTAAAACCATTTTATCGTATTCCTCTCACTCTGCCAAATTTTTACGAATAATTTCATGGCTATTAAATATTTTGTTCCATTGGATGTAATGAGTTATAAAAGCTTTTTACAATTTGGTTTATATATGGTGACGACGACAAGTACACACATTTTGACAAACATAGAGAAGTGCATCCAGAACTTTCATCGGGTGCACCTTCAAATGCTTTATTGGAATTTCATGTAATAGAGAAATGCGGTCATTTACCACAAGATGAAAAACCTGAAGAAGTCTGTAAATTTGTGTATTAATTTTATCAAAAGAACTGGAATTTGATATTCCAAATTAATTTCGAAAATTGCTTTAATATTCTACATGTATTAAAAAAAATCAAATTCACTGATGTTTATAGTTATTTATAGTTACTTGAACATTTTATAAGTTGAATATATTGTAAAATTAGAATAATAAGTAGTCGTTTATAGAGAACAATAAAGACAATCTTTCAATTTTTTTGATAATAAGTGTTGTAGATTAGATCACATCAACCTAACTTACAAAGTTTTTGGAAAAGTACGTGAAAAAAAGAATTACTTTAATTACTTTTCAAATTCTTTTATCTATTATTATTCCATTATTATTCATTATTTTGGTTTTCTAAATAAATAAATGAAAATGAAAATAAAAATAGAATATTTTTTAGAAAATTCACAAAAAAAAGATAAAGCTATCGAATTGCAAAATTGCAAAAATATTGGTAAATATTCATTTTACAAATGATTTTACATGATTTCAATAATCTTATTTAATTAATATACAAATATATTTATTAATAAATTATAGAACGTGGTTCCGTAACTGGCAGTGCAAGGCGCAAAAGAAGGATCAATGTTTTGTAATTATTATTATTATTATTATTGTGGTTTCTAAATTAATTTAGTAAAAAATGGCTACAATATAAAGGATCACACAAAATTTAAGGAAGAAGAAATTGAGATAATGAATTTACAATTTTGAAGTTAGGAATTAAAATGAAATAAAAAGAATCAAAATTTGTTTATATTATTTATTAAATTTACCTTTGGGGAATAACTTTATAAAAATATCTTTACAAATCACATTACACAAAAAAAAAACTGTTTATGTAATTATAAGGTAATCGCTTACGAATAGCGCGTGTCATGTATGAAACCAACTCGACAAGTAAATAAATAATTCATTCAATCGCTAAATTAAATTATGTAGTACTAATTCTTTTGAATTTTATTCTTATTATAATTTCGAACTTATTCAGAAACATTCGCGTACAGACTATGATCGGGAATGACATATCTAATAAATAAAATTTTATTCTTTAAATTTGGAATAATCAAAATTTGAGTAAACTTGATGAAAATGTTGATTTTGAGTATTATTAAATAATCAAGGACATTTCTGATGACCAAACACTTTGATCATTATAATAAAAAAATGGTATTGTTATTTACAATGAATACAAAGTTTAATCCATAATTCAAAATAATTTACTTCTTTTTTGAACTAATTCTTTATTGATTTGAGTTTTATATGCAAATCATGAACTGAACTATCTAGTTTTTCGAGTGTCTTTAAAATAGAGTAATATACACGTGATAAGTACTGGATGGATTTTTTCAAAAGTTGAGACTCCAAAGGTTAATTTTTTGATACTTTAAAATTTTTTCTGTTATGTTTGTTATTTTTGAATAAAAGATTTCTCAGTATTCTTTCAGCACTTTGGTAAAATAAAACACCTTGCGTGATTAAGTTAAATTGTTCAGCAGGTATAGGAATAGAATAATAATTTTCGTTATGCTGGATTATAAATACAATCATTTTTCTCAAGAGTAGTGTTCACAATTTTTTTTCATATTTTCAGTATTTTTGTCAAACTACTAAGTTAAGATGTTCAGCAAGTATGAAAGTAGAAAGCATTAATTTTCACTATTTTAGCTTGAAAACGTATTGAGCTATTTAGTATTTTCAAGTGAGCGAGATTATTTAACAGGCATAGACATATTTTATGAACCTTTGAGAAGTTATGAATATTTTTGTATAAATACTAAATTTCTTATTAGTGTTTTAACAATGCATAATAGTATAATATTAAATGTTATAAATTTTATTTATAACGTGATGTTATATTCGTGCCTTAACTGTTAAATTTTTACATCACGTTATTTAAGAAAATAGAGAACTTATTAGTTTTGCACGTGATTAAAACGAAAGAATGAATGATTAAAAAACGAAACAATGTATAATAATACAACAATAAAATCTATTTTAAAGAATGAGTCAATTATGCAAATTTTATCGGAAATTTTTTTTTAATTTATTTTTCATTGTTTAATTGTTTAATGTGTACAAAAATTTTTTTTTTATATCCGAAAAGAAAGTTACAAAATAAATTACCAGTAATTGTTGTTATTTTATTTTATTTTTTAATTCAATTGTAAATGTTATCATAAAAGAAATCAAGTTTACACGTTTAATTTGTATAGAAATATAAATATATATAGCAATTATTTTTAAAATAATTTTGAAACATCATTTCTTCTACGTATTACGTATTAACCATCACACATGTCTTATTAATTTCTTTATAAAGCTATCTAATTCATTAATTCTTGTTTTAAAGCAATTCTTATATATTTGATATATAACACACTCTTGACATACAAGTTACAGAAAAAGACAATCATTTAAAAACATATAAGAAAGTATCATAATGATCGAACAAATTATTCCTTACAATAATCCTTAAGCGTAGTATAATTGCTTTGTTCTCCTTTATTATAGATTTTCACCTTAAGTAAAACCGTCTTGGCATAATAATACAATCAAAGAAATAATAGTTATATTATTATTATTATATTATTAAATTATTAATTCTTAACATAAATGTCACTTAAGAAAAGATATTAATAAATATTGTTGAATCGGGAATATAAAAAATAAATAAATAAATAAATTCACACTATTGTTTACGATACGATATCAGAATCTATTGTTCAAAAAGTACGCGAACAAAATAAAATCATTACTACATTTATCAACAATATGATGATCATAGTTCTGATTTATCGTTTGTTCAAGTCTTTTTGAACTCCAAATCTAGGTGTTATTAACTTATTTTAGGTTTATTTTTTTTTTGTTTTAAGATATTTTTTTTCTTAATTAGTTCATTTAGCCAACCATTACAGGATATTACAGATTATTACAGATTATTACAGATTATTCTTGTTTTTAGTTTTACTAAAAATTTAATTATATTGTATTGTATATGGTTATATTACATACTTAATTAAGTGTTACATTTTAATAAAAATGAATTATAAACGTGCATACATGTTTACTATTGATCATAAATTAATGTACTGCTTAATTTTATATTATATCCAAATATAATAAATATTATTAGAAATTTATAAAAAAAAAAATAAAAAAAAATATTATTATTATAATGAATATGATTGTGTGTTAATAAAAAAGAAATTCGGAAGTCATGAGTAATGAGATTAATTCGTCATCAACGGTAACTTTAAATCAGTTGCAAAAAGGTATAACCGTTATTTTGTATTGCAAAACGGTGCAAAATGTGTAAATATATGTTGAATGGGTGTATATAGAAATTTTGTTAAGCATGATATTTTGATATCTAAATTTAGAAAGGCTTGAACAATGTTTAATTTTGGGTTTTAATAAATATTATAGTAATTCATAATCGTCATCATCGCTTTATTAATAATATTTATTATTTTAATTAAAAATATTCAGGAGAAGCATATATTGTAAATTTTGTGTCTTGACAAAAATACTGTGTAATGTTAATGATTGTTTAATAAGCAGTACGTCTCTAGATCATTGTTCATTAGTTCATTGAGATTATAATTTTAATATTGTTTTTTGGGATAAAATGAAAAATTCTTTATAAATAACACATTTGAACTTTCGAATTGCAAGAAACATTATTATCTATTATTATTATTTTTATTTTTTATATTTACCAAAGAAATTTCCATTAAAAAAAAAAGGACAATTTATCAAATTATTTTAAAAATTATTTAACAAAATATGACTTCAACTTATATCCAAGATAGCGCCACCAACGCTTTAACACCTTTACCACAAGCTTACCTTACTCCCACAACGCAATTAACAACTTCACTACCACCAACGGAAAAAATTATACAACTTGATAATAAATCTTTACCTTCATATGAACATGTAAAAGTAGATATGCCACCTGAATATTCAAAAGAAGAAGAAGAAAACGAATTTTATTATCCAAGTAAAAAAAAGTTAAATAAAATTCAACCTGAATCACCTTGGGATATAGTACCAGTAGAAGAACAAGAATTATGGCCAATAACAAAAAGATTATATGTCGCAGGATTTTTAATTTGGCCACTATGGTATATTGGTATGGCTTTTAGCATATTTGGTAAAGATTCTATTACTAGAATTTGGGGAAAACGATGTTTTATAAATTCGTTGGTTGTTACGGGAGTTTATATTTATATAGCTGTTGCTTATTTTAGAACCAAAGGAACAAATAATATCTGATTAAAAAATAAGGTTAAATTAAAAAAAAAATATTATTACTTTCTTGAAATTGCTTGATGCATTTCTTGCAAAGTAATATTCTAATAATAATAATAATAATAATAATAATAATAATAATAATAATAATAATAATAGTATCAAGAGTTGTAGTATTATTAGTAAGTTGTAAACATTACTCTCATCGAATAATCTCATCGAGTATTTTGAAATATTTTTTTCTTTTTTTTTTTCAAACATGTAAAATTCAATTCTTCACACATCTTATAACAATTGTAAATATTATGTTTTATTCTTATTTTTCTTTCATCCTTTCATCATCATCATCATATCCTCATTATCATCATCTCCTCATTATCATCATCATTGTTTATCTTCAGAATAATTTATATTATATTATAATAAATTTCATTTTCTTGAATATTTAAAAAATTGTTTATATCTTTATTATCAAGTGTTTAAGATTATTGATCAAAGAGTAATAAAGAACAAATGAACACATGATGACGTGTAACACATCTCGCGTTGATCTGTTTAAAACTCCCAATTTCTCTAACTTCGCGATACTTTTTTATTAACATTAATTTTCAATATTTTTGAAATCAAAATGGAAACTATCAAGTTGGTAAAATTTAAACCGGTTTTAAAAACTCCGTACGAAATTTTCAACATTATCACGCTCAGGAGGAAACATGGTAAATATAAAAATTTCTGAAATAAAAATAAAAAGAAACTTTTTTTTTATAACTTTTGTTTTCTTTATATATTTTAATATATTTTGTGTCAACTTCCACAGCTGGAAAATCTGAGGAAGGAGACAACCGTTCGCCCGTTCACATACCACCTTCGTTCATGTCTTCGTAAGTAGTTCTTCTTATTAAAGTGTCCGTAATCCTAGCAGCTTTATCATATGATATCATATGATGTTATTATTTTTATTGTTACACATTGTCTATTTTGATTTTTTTTTTTATCTAAAACATAATGTCTTCAAAGAGAAAAAATAAAAAAAACAAAATAAATAAAAAAGATGATAATAGGGATATAATTTTAGTTGATAATACTTTATTAAAATCATCTTCCTCATCAAAAAATCCTTCTTTATTTCCTCAGCAATTAGAATATTCAAAAAAAAAACCATCAACAACCATCACATCATCATCTTATTCTTCAATTATATTAGGTTTTCCAGATGATAATTATATATCATTAAAAGAAGATAATGATCCATACGCAACCAAAATTGGAGGGATTCCAAATTGGTTAATTGAATCATGTCCGGCTTCTTATGATTTTATGATTTGTAAGAATTGTGGGAAAGAAATGTTTTTATTATTTCAAGGTTATGTACCTTTAGAAAATTCCATTTATGATAGAGTGATTTATGTTTGGGGGTGTAATCAACAAAAATGTATGAAGAAACATTCTGGAAGGTAAATTAAAAAATATATTTTTAAAATATATTTTTATTATATTTTAATTATATTTATATAATATTTTTTATATTTTAATTATATTTATATTATATTTATATTGTAATTATTAAAAAATTATTATTATTAAAAATAAGAAAATTTTAAAATTACAGTTTTAGGGTAATCAGAGCTCACAGATTAGATGAAGAATATGCGAGAAAACAAAAACAACAACAACAAAAGAAAGAACAAAGTAAAATTCATTCACAAATATCTTTAACATCTGGATTTAATGTATGTTTATATATAAAAAAAATTACATAAGTGAATTTCATTTTTATTTATTTATGAGATGAAAGAAATAAAGTATATTTTGAAATAAATCAATTAATCAATTAATTTAGTTGGGTGAAAAATTATTCTTATCTACAAGTAATTCTTTAACAGTTGATAATAATGAATTGGGTGTAGAGTTATTTAGAAATGAAGAAGATGTGAGTAGTAGTGATATTGTTGATTTTATTATTTATATTTATTATTTATTTCTAATTTATCTTTCTTTCACTTTTCCTTCCTCTATCTCTCTCTTTTTTTAGAATACTTCACTTTCATCAGAAAAAGTAGAAGATGTCATTGCTACTGCTATACCAAAAACTTGGAGTCAAGTTGTTGATCCAAATTTAAATAATTTAAATGATAAATATAATAATAATTATAATTCTGATAATATTGAATCAGAACTTTGTGCTGATATAAATTCGAAATTATCTTTACAATCTTGGACGGGTAAGTTTTTTCATTCATATTAATTTTTTTTATAACTATTTTTTTTTATTCAATATTTTTATATATTTAATTTTTTATAAGTAGCATGGCCCAAAAAAATTCCATTCTTTCCTGGAAAATATGTATACGTAACAGAAGAAATCATAGAATCAAAAAGCATTTCACCTAATAATTACAAAGATTATAATATTATTGAAAATAACAACAATAATAATAACGAAAGTGGTGATTGGGTTGGAGAAGAATATGAAAAACCAAGTTTACCAAAAGGTATCGATAAAGCTTTTATGAAATTTATGAAGCGGGTGAATGAATTTCCTAATCAATGTATAAGGTAAGTGAGTAATTATATATTATAATTTATATTTTTAATTTATATTTTTAATTTTTAATTTTTAATTTATATTTTGAATTGTTTTTAGATATGAATTTAATGGTCAACCATTATTATACAATCAAAGTGATATCACAGCCAAATTATTATTATCATCATCATCATCACAATATTATTCTAAAAAGATCACTACACATAAATTACCAAAATGTCCTAAATGTGGATCAATAAGAGTATTTGAATTTCAATTAATGCCTAATATTTTATGTGTACTTCCTATAAATAATAATGATGATGATAGAAGTAGTAATAATAATAATAATAATAATAATATATCTCAATTTAATTTTGGAATGGAATGGGGCACAATTATGGTTTTCACGTGTTCAAAAGATTGTGAATTAGAAGTGTTGGGAACAAATAATGTTTCTTATTATGAAGAATTAGTTTTGGTGCAGTATGAAGAATGAAAAATGATTAGTCATTATTGTCATGTTTATTATAAAGAATATTTAATATACATAATTTGTAAAATAATAATGGCAACAATGAAATTGATCATAAAAAAGCATTTATTTATTCATTTTGAGTGAATAATTTTTTATTGAAAATGATTAAATTGGTATCATCTATATATTGTTGTTTTTATATTTTTACCAATATTATTATTTTAAACAATATTATTAATAAAAAAAAATAATAATAATGAACATTATTTTTAATATCTTATTTCTTGATTAATTCCTTTTCTTTTTTCTTCTTCCCTGATTTCAAACATAATTTGTGCTCCACAAAAAATTCCCAAGCCAGTAAGTCCTACGGCTATCAATCCTATTAATGATGATGATAATATTAATAATAATATTTAATTGATAAATAAATATTATAATATTATTAATATTATTACTTACCATCTTTTGTCATAAAAATATTTATCAATAAAACTTTCATTCCATCTAATCCAATAGCAAATCCAATTAAATTTGCCATCCACATCATTAATAAATTTGCCACAGCTCCAACCGCACACAAATGTCTATAATATGGCCAATCACCCCACTAAATAAAAATGTGTACATTATGTATTTGTCAAATAATAATAATGATATACAAATATCATAATAGATATTATAATAATAATAAATAAATATATTTACCTTTTTTTCTGAAAAAATTGTTCTACCTATTTTTTCAGGTAAAATAAATAACCAAATTAGCCAACCCCATGCTAGTAGTTTTAATGAAATATCATGCCAAAGTGCAACAAATGTAAATATTACTAAGATATTAAATACTGGATTTTTATTTCCCCCTAATGGGATATAAATATATCTGAAATAATTAATTAATTAATAATTAATTAATTATAAAAAAAAAAAAATTTTAAAAAAAAGCTAAAAAGAATTAAAAATGATAAAAAAAAATAAATAAATAAATAAATAAAAAATATTAAAATTAAATTTACCTTAATAGCCATTTATAATAACTCCGATGCCAACTACGCCAAAATCCACTAGTTGAATAATTATTCATCATACATCTCATCATATTTTCTTGTGCAATAATTCCATCTGCCATTGCCCAAAATCTGAAAAATCTCCACATTATCAAGAGCTATTAATTAAATCAAATTAAAATAAATAAATAAAAAATAAATAAAAATAAAATAAAATAAAAATATAAAAACAAAATAAAAATAAATAAATACAAACCTTAAACCAAACATAGAATAAATTAAACAATCCAATCATTCCAAGTTCAAAAGGTGTATCATTATCCCACGCTCTTGCTTTACCAATCACAACAACATAAATATAATGAAGCATGACTTCCATTAAAAGTATTGCTCCTAAAAGTCGTATTCCATATAAGAATACACCTTTTATATCTATATCACGAGAATATCTTAACTACAAAATATTTATATAAGTATAAAAATATATATAAATATACATTTATTATCATATTTAAAAAATATAAAAATAATTACTTACTTGAGAGATGAAATCATTATACGTAATTATAGGTCCAGCCAGAAATAATGGTGTATAGAGAATGTAACTTAAATAATAAATAAAATTATAATCTTCTTTACAACATGGAGTAATAATTCTCTCCGTTTCTGTGAAAAATATTGCATCCTTGGGTTTTCTCTACAAAAAATAAAAAAAAAGTTTTAATCTCTCTCTATAATATATTTTCTCTGTAATATAACCAATCTCTATAAAAATATAAATCTCTCTATACAAAATATTTCTATTATATATCTCTTTAGATATTTAAAAATCAATTAATACTCATACAAATTTAATAAGATATCATTACGTGGGGTTCTCCCAAGATTACCTCAGGAGAAGTTGTAATAGTTGTGGGATGAAATGACCAATAATAATCCAAATTGTATGATAATAATCGTAACGTGCATATGTTAAAGGTCACATCCCATCTATGCAATAATCCACGGTTAGAATCCTTTATATATAATAATTATATATTATATATTATATATTATATATTATATATTGTATGTATATTATGTGTATATTGTTGTAGATATTACGGTTATGTAAAATTGGAAGAATTAAAGTGTTAACATTGGTCATTAGGAAGAAAACATTAAGAGAATATTAAATAAATAACAACAAACCAAAAATTCCAAATGATCATTAATACTACTAAATTTATATCCAGAATAACCCTCATTCAAAAATAATACAGATAAATTAAATATCCAAGTTATTGATGGATTAAAAATAGAACCTTCAAATACTTTGGAAATAATATAATTCAAGCTTAATATTATAAATATAAAAATTATGCTATTTCCAAATAACACATATAAAAAAATTATAGAAAATCCCAAGAAAAACAAAGTTCTTTTAAGAGATTGAGTAGTAACTTTAAAAGATTTGGATATAAATAATATTCTATAAAAATGACTTATAATTAAATAAATTATTAATGCAAATGCTAATAAAAAATAATTATTTCTGAAAGTAGCAAGTTGAGTGTCTGTGTTATCCTAAAAATGGATGTATATATATATTATTATATATATTATTAAATTGTCATTAATTGATGAAATAATCAAGATTTACCAATTTTCGTCCAAACATCCATCCTTTTGATAAATATTTTGAATAATATGAATAATTTGGATGCGTTTCTGAATCATGAATTAATAATTAAAAATTAGCATATTATTATTATTAGTATTGATGTATTATTATTATTATTATTTTATTATTTTATTATTTTATCATCATTTTATTATCCTTTTTATTATCCTTTTAATTATCTTTTTATTATCATTTTATTATCCTTTTTATTATCCCTTTTGATTATTTGTTATTGTTACCTTGACTCAAGTCATATACAGATTTGAACGCATAAAAGACACTAAATGCTACTGCAACATAATAAATATAAAATTCAAAAGTATTCCATAAAGGTGGTTTAATTTTTGTAGAAGTAGAAGAGGAAGATGATGTTGTTGTTAATGGAGTATATTTTGTGGATGAATATTCTTCTGAAGAATCTTTTAATTTACTCATAATAATGAATTAATTATTGTTGATGGATGGATTTTAGATGAATTGGAATTCTAAAAGAGAGTTAAGAGTACATACAATCAATTTCCATATTTCTTTTAACGGATGAACATGTGATTTTGCATTTAATTAATTTAATATCAAACTTTTTTTGGAAATTTTCATAGAAAATCACATATATAGAGCAAAATTTAAATCTTTATAGAAAAAAAAAAAACAAAAATAAAAATAATTCTAATGCCAAGAAAACCAGTGTACATCCCAAGTTGCTGCAATATTAATATGGAATAAGAAAAATGTTATTAATGTTATTAATAAAATATTATATTCTAAATTTAACATGTATCACAGGTTTCGGACTTTTAATTTGGTATCTCCAACCGATTTCTGTTTGGTGTATTTGCGTTTTAGGAATGTAGACAATGGAAATTTATGTTAAATTTAGATTTAGTTAGTTGTTATTATTAGTTTCTTAACATGAAAATTTAAATTCCGGATTTTCCAAGAAGAATGCATAAAACAAATAAATCAAAAATATTTCCTTCTGCGGTACTACGATAATGTACTATATATGCGAAAATTCCTTCATTGATGTAATTTCTAAACATACTTTCTAATTACACTTTCTATATACACTTTCTAAATACACTTTCTAAATACACTTTCTAAATACATTTCTAAATACACTTTCTAATTGCATGGAAAATACGCAGTGACTTTTTACAATATTTGGTTATATAATAATAACTCTTTATTTCTACTATTAAGGACTAGTAATTCCGAGTTAAATCTATAAAATATGTCACTTTTGATTTTTTTTTTCATCTGATTAATTCACCATCTCTTGGCTGATTGTCTTACTTGTCACTTAATCTACATTATTCTTTTTAATTTAAAATATTATTCTCCTTGCATACATTATTTGAATTTTTTAAATTTTTTTTTTTTGAATCAAGAAAAAAAATGAGCACAAGAGATTTTATGCGTACCATTTCAAGTTCTACTCCTAGGAGAAAATTTGGGATTGAAAAATTTAAGAAATTTAAGAAATTTATTCGTCGAATTTTGAAAGGTAAAGATCAAGATAATATACCAGTAATCAAAATTACACCAGACAGTGATGTAATCGAAACCACACCAGACAACAATGAAATGGAAACTACACCAAACAACAATGACAATAAAATCGAAACTACACCAG